CTCTCTGAATAAACATACCTTTTTTCCGACGGATTCAGATTCTTGATTCTCAAAATATGGAGTAGGTTAAATCTGAAAAATATAGTCTCTATACATTGATCAGAAGAACGGTTGAAAGTTTGAAACCCTTAATGTTAATTTTACTATTTGTGAATTTTGCTATATCTCGAGAACTTTTAGAGGAAATATGACATTTTTTACACAGTTGTAAAATTCATTTAACTAAAAATTAATTCATGAGAAAAAATAATTATTTTTATTTAATATTAGTCGCAAAAATTTTGAATTGTAAAATATAGTTTTTTTTTACATCATTTTCAAGAATGTAACTTTAAATAGCAAAGAGCAAAATTTGTACGAATCGGCCGAAAGTTCACCAGAAATCAAATTTAATACACGACTTTTTAAAATTTGATTTCTCAGGAGCTATTCTACCGATTTCTCTTAAATTTCGTACATTGTCATTTAAAATTATATTCTTTAAAATGATGTAGAAAATTGTATGCCTTGCAGTATTTTAAACTATTCGCAAGTTTTTTCAACTATTACTAAATAAAATAATAATAAACAATTATTAAAAATAATTTTTTGAATGGAATTATCTTAACGAATTTTAAAATTGCATGCAAAAGTTTTTCAATTCGCTTGAAAAGTTCTCGAGGTTAGGCGAAATACACAAAAAGTAAAATTAACAATAAGGGTTTCAAAATATGACACACTCTCCAGACCAAACTATTGGGACTATATTTCCCAGATCCAGATTCCGGTTACCCCCCCCCCCCNCCCCCCCCCAACTATATTTTGAGGGTAAGAAATCCAAATCCGCTAAAAAAGGGTATGTTTTTTCAGAGATAGTACGTTTTTGTGTCTGATTTCGTAACTAAAAATATCATCTGCACGAATTAAGGTAAGACATATAAGCTTTTTCTGATAAAATATTTTAATACTTAAAGACTGGATATTTTTATAAAGTTTTTTTTAATTAAAAACTAATAAAATTTGTTGCATTAAATATTATCAGCAGAGTTTTTTTTCTTCTTAATAAGAACAGTATAAATTCATCAACTAAATGAAGGCTGAAATTGAATCCCTATTGCATGACCGAATATTCGGTATTTGACCAAAATACTATTCCTCAGATAATACCGTTACCAGATTGCAACAAAAATGCGACAGTCGCGGATACTCATTCTTGAAGTAGCGCGTAATTCTTGCGACATAGATGTGTAGCTCACTATGTTCACCTTTGTGACGACATCATATTTTAAAGTCACCCAGACGTCAATATGAGACATTTAATTGTTGCAGGAACGTCACTGTGTGACATATTCACGTCTCAACAGTCACCCTGAGACGAAATTGCGGCGTATTTAAGTCTAAACAGTCACCGTCTGACGAAATTGTGACATTCGCTTTTCAACAGAGTCACGGTCTGACGAAACGGTGACATATGCTGACGTCACTGTGATAATTAAACGTCTCATGTTTACGTCAATTAAAACGGACATAGTAACCTTTTTCCACATGCATGTCGACATCGCATAAACCACAAGTTACTTCACAAATGAAAATCTATGACTGTCGCATTTTTGTTACAATCTGGGGGAAAATATTAATAAAAAAAACTACTAAAAAAAACTTTTTTTATTAAATTATATTTGTATAAAATTATTTTATAATTGCGTAAAAAAATTTCTTAAGATGTGGCGAAATATACAAAAAGTAAAATTAACATTAAAGGATCTAAACTTTTGACCACTATCCTGACCTAACTATTGGGAACATAGTTTGAGGTCAAAGAATCCAAAAAATGTTTCAGAGAAAGCACATTTTTGTGTCTGATTTCTTAACTTAAGATATTGTCTGCACTAATTAATAAGCATATTTGAGGTCAGGCTCTTGAACCATTAATATTAAATTTTAGTTCGCGAAAATCTCATCAAAATTTATTCAAAGGGTGTCAGTTTTTTTTTTTTTTTTGATCACTGTACATTAAAATGAACAAAGCTGCTACCTCATCCTGCTGCTATTACGCTGAATTTCTTTACATTGCTAACACACACGTGATTTCTCGAAATAATTAGCCGTGGCACTCGGATGCATTGTTGCAAAATTTTAATACGAACATTCGAAAACTCCACACTTTATCTATTTAAAAAATTATTTCTGTTAAAAAATCCATGCGAATATTAATTCAGAAAGATAAAAAGCAGTTTTCAAATATTCATACAGAAATTTTACCAGTTTTTTAATTTTCTTGAGATCGTAGATCAGCGTATGCATATGCCGTTATATGCTGCGACACTTTTTGAGAAAAAACTAGATTTTCTAACTTACCATTGGAAAAAGTAAATTAATTTTCAATTATAATTGAAAAAAAGCGATTGCTTTGCTATCGATTTTTTTTATTCTGAAGATAATTGCACAAAGAAATGAAAAAAGTTGCAATCAGTTCTCAACTATTTTTCTCATATATCAAACAATTGAAATCGCTTATCTTTCGTTAACAGTAACATAATCTGCAATCAGTAATGGTTTTGAAAATTAATCGCTTAAGTTCACTTTTAAAATGCTTTTTAATTTCACCTTTTTATTACTTATAAGGGATTCAGCCTAACTACATGCATATGTATGACATCCTCATATAATACTTTCGCAACATTGTCAGCAGTTAAATTAATTTCAACCTTGTTGAATTCATTCTTTGATAAAATTTATTTAGATAATCAACGTTTTTTTTAATATTCAATGTTTAAAACATTAGGTTTTGTTTGAACTATTTTTTTCTTCATCTTCTTATTTGTACTACAATTTAAAAATTAACAAGTTTTAAGTAGAAATGTACTAGGTCCAAATACTCGGTGAAAATTGAATCTTTTACCAGGGCGATTACGCGTAACCCATACATAACAAGACTGGTTGGAATTTGAATTTATTGTGCTAATGAATAAAAAACACGCCTTCTAGTAAAAATTTAGTTTAAAGTTACTTATGGCCAATTTTATTCATACATGCTTCTTTTCAATATGAACGTAAATCAACTTATACTGAACATGTAATAAAATGTTTTCAAATTAATTTTTGTCGAATTACCTAAAAATAGATTTTTTAAAAAAAAAAACTACGATCAAAAAATTAATTTACTTTTTTTAAAAACAATTTTCTCCATTTTAACTCGTGCTTTAATTTACTAAAAAATTAATCTTAAATGATGTTTAAATTGGTAATAGCATTAAAATAATTAATATCTCATAAGTAAGGAAATTTTTATGTTCAGTTTGCAGCTGTTACCATTCTAATACAATAAAATGGTTAGCCTATAAATTCTACTAGCAGAATCACATAATTGCATTTATTCATTTGCTGATAGCAAATTTAGTATAAAAGTAATACTAAATTTGCTATCAGCAAATATATATCGCATTTTTCTACAGCTATCATTGAATTTTAATCATTATGTTTTATTTATTTAAATAAATTGTAGTTTAATTTCCTATTTCTAATTTTGCATTTACTTATCCATCATATTTATTTGGTTGAAATAGTTTACAGCATTAAATTTCTGAATTTTATGTCCTTCTCCTCAGAAGACAACACAACTCTCTTTAGAGAACATGTTCCATTTTCCCCAAAGGTGTTCATTTTACCAGTTTCCCCAAATAAAAATTCTATCCAGTGTAAAATATGTCATACCTAAACCAGTTATTTCAACTTGATTATTAACAAACTGATGGAACACATGAAATTCCAAAAATGTAATTATTTTTATGAATAGTTTTAAAATTATTATAAATCTAAAATATGGTTGTGTGAAATACAAATAAATATTACTCTGCACTAGACACCCGGTAAAATTGGTCGGGTCCGTGTACCCTGTACCAGGTATAGAGGCTGAAAACAAAGATTAGGTATCTATTTCCGATAGACCTGAAAATAACTACTTGCCATGGGACGAGTAAAGAAAAAGAAGAAAAAAAGTTGCGATTTAAATAAACTACTGGTCACTTTTTTCTTCTTCTTTGTTTTTCAAAATCGTTTAATGATAAAAATAGTACATTAATGTGCAGAAAGAGACACTGAAAAATAGGATTTTTATTAAAATGTCACCATTCAAAATTTTGATCCTTCAGAATCTATTAATTTGTGGAGGAAAGATTGTGGAAGGAGAGTTCTTTGACAATTCACCTATTTCTAAGTTGTAACGTATTCATTAAATGAATTCCACCTTCCCAAATATTTTTACATAAAGTTTTTTAAAGTTAATATGTTTAGCTAAATTTTGTCACATATTTATACCATTTTCATAGTTAAGTAACTTTATCTAATCGTAGATTATTTCTAATATGTTGTTTTTTAAAAATAAAATTTAACCCTAACAAAAACAAAAAAAAAGGAAAAATTAGCTAATAAGTAAAAAGGACCTATCGCTATCAGTCGCCGACTTGTTAGGTTTGAGGAAGACGTTACAACTATAAGTCATTAGAGTCTACCGGCCAATGGCTACTAACTGAAAATTTAAATTTTCTGGTGCCGGGTGCTGAAATATTTTCATAGGGTACTCGAAATGAAAATCTGGTCGGTAATTACAACACGCGTATTTCAAATTTTAGGTCTTCTTGACACGGTCTATTTGCAACGATCTATCGTAAATCCACGTCGTTCATTCATTGTTACAATTACTACCTTTTTCACATAGTACACCTTTTTACTACCTTTTTCACCGTACAACGAATCTCATCAGTTTTGGAGCAGCTTGCAGAATTTCGAGAAAAATGGTATTTTTTAAAACCTTTTGTTAGTAAAGCTTCTTTAATATAGATCAATAAATGTAAAATATTTAAAACCTTCTGTTCAATCTTCGAATGACTGAAAAAAAGTAGGATTTTGTTCTGGTATGTAGTAGTATTTACTTCCTGCAACTGAGGTCTTACGTCCTAAGACTCTTTTATTTTGTGATTTTTATTTTATAACTTATGCACTTAGGTCAAGACATATAAACAAAACAAAAAATTTTTATTCAATTTATGATTAAAATAACACACTGATAGCTATTATGCAAATATAAATACATATTACTAAATAATTTCCAATCTTAATAGCACAAACAGAAAAGTTAAATAAATTGTGGGAACATTGCTTCGCCGAATTTCAATATTTAAATTTTACAATCTTTAAATGCTTACAATACTACAATTATAACAATCAATGGCACTTCAAAATGCTAGATTTAAAATATATATTAGGCGAACAGAGTTAAGGCTGGAACAAGTTACATACACTATAATTGTCATTTTGAAATCTTTTTGGAAAACAATATTTGCTTACATAGGGAAAAAATGACCAAAAAACTCACCGATACAATACAAATAACATATAAATGTAAAAGAACATTTCATATAATTAATATTTAATATAATTTATTTAATATTCTGTCATAAAAAAAATTTCCGAAACTCAATGTCACAAAAAATGTCCACTTAAAAAGTACATTTTGATTTAGAAAGAATATTAATTTGCTAATTTAATGCCAAATAAGTTAATAAAGTAAGAATTTGAAGAAAAAAAGCGAGTCAACGGGAGAAAACTTATAACACCGGGGAAAAAAATAACTATTTTTTTTATAAGTAATCAGTACAAGCAAATATTTCTTTGAATACTAGATATAACAAAATAATAAAATTTTTTAACAGAACAATTATATATTTAAATCTAGGATCTTTTTTTAAATGTATGGAATTTCAAATAGAAATAAATTTTTTGCTGTATTTTCACACACACACGTATTTTTTTTTTCTATTCTAATTTGAATAATTAAATGTACTATGTACATTTATTTCAAATATAACAGATAAATACAAAAGAGTAAGAAAAGGGCCTTTGCCTGCATACTTACGATTTTAATCTCAAGAAAAATAAAGAACTAAAGAAATTCACTTCCAATCACCAAACCAAAAATAAGTATAACAGCAAAAATTAGATAAAAGAAAACATTTACCCAGTTATGAGCATTCGTTTTAGTGTCATAGTCATAAAAATTCATGGGACATTTTTACAATGCATTTGATTTCAATAACAGAAGAATCAATCGCCATTTATGAAAGCGAGGCAAAGGAATCCATAATTCTAGAACTTGTAATTAAGTAAATTTACCTTGATTTCAAAAATGAGAATTTACATCATCTTATAAAGAATTTTCTTCGAAGCTCTTTAACCAAGGTACCTAAAGAAGCTACGGAGTTTTAATACCTTAGATTTGAAATTCGTAATTTCTTATAATGCATACTATCTTTGCTTTAAAGAATTGTTTGGCTTTAACCACAAGCATACAACGGCAACTATTGTTTGAAATAAAATTAAATGTCCAAAACTTAAATTGTAAAATATTTATTAGTAAAATTACTCTCACGAGATAAAATATGCACAGTAATTTTTTCACTCAAAGCGTTCAAGTTTTTGATCATAAATATGTCTTTTTCAATCCTTCACATCATGAATATAATTTTATAAATAAAAATATGATTTTCCTCAAATAATCAAAACTTGTCGGTATAAAATTCCTCAGACGAAATATCTTCTCCTCGCCCCCCTGGGTGAAGACCCTTGTCAATCTGTCTGAAAATTAAATAAGAACTAATTTAGATCGCATTAAAGCAAATTAGCTGGATCAAAGTTTTATTTAAGTTCATTAATTTTTCAGCTAGAATGAATAAATAATAAGACTGTTTTGGAATCCCCGAATTTAAATTTTGGGTGTAGGGTAAGGAAGAATAAAGAAGAAAATGTAAGTTTTTGAATTTTTAAAGGCTTTTAAAATTTGTGGATTCAATTGCCCGATGTTTGGTAAACATTAAGTAGTCTCTTATTTTTAAATGCTCCAGTACCAATTTTAAAATTTATCTTACTAGTGATTAATGTAATGCAATTCAAGATCATGGCTTGACATTGATTTAGAAACTTTAAGACCAAAAATATAGTTAGATGTAACATTTCTTGTGAAACAAAGATATCCACCGGAAAGTAAGAGTTTTTCTTCAGAATTTTGTGAGAAACCTGTAATTATGAATATATTTATCATTAATTTCGTAGTAAAATACTAGATTTTAGTTACATTTAACTGAATTTCCATGCTCAAGAGCTTTATATTTTAGAATATGAATGCTTAATAATCTCTTTTGAGCAGTTGAAATATCTGACCCTGATGAGATGTAAATAATTTTAAAATAAAATGACCACTTGCTATGAACACAGTTGCATACGTCGAAACTTTTATCTTGCACATTTTAGTACACCCCAGTTTGCATTTAATAGCTTATGTTCAGTTTATGGAAAGGAATAAAAGACCGCACTATTCTGTTATTTTGCCCGTTTCACGCAACATTTTCCTCGGAAAACAAAATGTCATTCACCTTAAACCATTTAATCACTGGCATCATTGCTCGCTTCTGCAACTACTTCATTCTCTGAAGAATCTTGACGAGATTTCTTGGACTTCTTGCTTTTACCATCAGAAAAATATTTCTCATGTTCGGATTCTCGGTGCTTCAACATAGTGGGTCTGTCAGCAAAACTCTGGTTACAGTACTTGCACAGAATTTTTCTATGAAGAATATGGTGCTTTTTCTGTTCCATACGCGTCATAAAACTCTTGTTGCAAGGAAAAAACAAACAAGAAAATGGCTTTTCTCCAGGATGTTCACGGCTCATGTGGTACAAGTGATTACTTTGCTGAGAAGATTTCTTTCCACACAAAGTGCATTTGTAAGGCTTCTTTTTGGAATGGATGATTTTGTGATTGATGAAAGAGCTACGCAAAATGAATGTTTTACCGCAAACTTCACACATGAAACCCTTTTCTTTCTTTCCACTGCAAGTATGCATGAAAAGTTCAGTAGTTTGTGCAAATCCTTCATTACAGTGGAAACAGGTAAAAGTACGCTTTTCTTTTTTCTTGGTTTTCTTTTTTTCCTCATCTTCACTACTTGATTCACTTTCAGATTCACTCTCAGGTTCTATTTTCCTCTTAGCAGCAGCTTTTTTCTTAACAGTAGCATTGCTTTGTTTTCCGGTGTCATTGGACGATTTTTCACCATCCTTAGATTTTGAGTTTTCTTCGTTTTGAGATTGTTTACTAATTCGCGTGCTCTCTCTCGTAGGCAACTTTATCTTTGCAACATCACTTTTCTTTTTGGATTTATCTGTGGACACATTTTCATTACCTTCCGTTTTCTTTTTATCGCTTTTGGGAGAGTTCTCATCTGATTTTTGTTTCTTAGGAGAGGTCTCACCTTTATCTTCAGATGATTCTTCACTATTCGATTTTGTCTCTTCATTTTTGTTGGTTGTATCCACTAAATTTTGCTTCTTTTTTGAAGTTTTCCTCGATTTAGGGCTTTTCTCATTTTCTAACATAGGTGAATTAGTTTTATTTTCTTTCTTTTGTGAAGTTACATTAGCTTCATCTTCTGAGTTCATTTTTGGCCGAACTAAAGTTGTAAAATTGTTAGCAGGGACGAAAACTTGAAGTGCATCCAAACTGACGTGCAGAAAAACTAAACCATATAACGTGACAATGGTATCCTAGAATAAAAAGAAAAATATTTAAGTGCACATTAAACCCATCGTTCAAATATGCCCAGTTTATTTATAAATGCCTAGAGGAAAATAAAAAAAAGATTGAGCATTTTTATAGAATCATCAGAATGGCCAACTAGTCTTTCAATTAGTGGCACAGTTGCCGACCGAGCTTAAAGCCAAACGTAAATATTTGGTTCATCTCAACTATAAATGTAAACAAAAACCGATTCTGAAATGTGCGAAGAGGTTTCTTTCTCAAAAGTAAGCAAAACAACTCACTATGCGACAGAATCGACTAAACTCTTTCTCTGGCTTCCTCACTATGAGGCAAATATTTACATTGAAAACGAAACAGTTAGGAGGCTCCACCCCATTATAGTTTTGCGTTATTACTAATATAATGCCTTGTCAAGCACAAAAATTGCATCTAAAACTGTGAGGTAACAGCAAAAAATTGAGGTTTAAAATTTTATCAACAAGTAGTTCAAACTAATGAGACGCATTTTTTTCTCTTAAAAAAAATATTTATTTGTTATTTATATATAAGCTTTAAATCTCAGTATTAGGAAGAAAAAAGAAAAAAAAACTCAATTTTGTCAACATTATATAACACTTCCGGAACTTAACAAGATACTCAACTAGGAAAAAAAATGACAGATAGTCATAAAATTAATTTAAAACTTTTAATTTAAAATAAACTTCCTAATTAAAATTGGCCTCTTTTTTTAAAAAAAGATTTAAAAAATTATGCATGCATGTTAACCACAAATTACTGAGATGACATTGGTAGGGACGCCATTCGGCCAACTACTTAGTTTGAACACCTTTTCGTAATTGGAAAATCAAATGTAAAAAACTAAAGAAGATACCACCATCCAATAAGTCTTATTCTCTCCTGTTAAGTTGAACATTAATAATTTTTTGATATATTACAAAACACGGAGAAAAACATTCAAATTAATAACAACAAAAAAAAAAACACCGCTTTTAATAAGATCCATTTTTTTTATATATAAAAGAATAACTAGTTTTAAAATATTTTAACATTTTATTAATATTTTTTTTATTTATTTTGAAAACCAAGTCGATGCAAGTATTATTTACTTTTATTACACTAATCTTTGTTCTAGGAAAAAACAAGATTTTTTATTATCAGTTCATATGTACAGACAAAATATCAAGATAATAAAAATTAAAACTGCCCCAGCAATTTTACTTGCAAACCAAATTTTGTCTTAGAAAGGCTGATCGTAACATACAATATCATTTTAAACTGCAATTAACTTATTCAGGTATAAGATAAAAAAATATATATAATGCCAAGTTTTCGCAATTTCTTTAATTTTAGCATTATGTTGATCTATCTAAACAGTATTAAAAAAAAGTGGATGAAATTACAAAATTGGAATGAATCAGAGAGAAAGTATTTAAATTAAATTGTAATTAAGGCAAAACAAAAAAAATACTATTTTGAAACATATCAGTTTTTGAACATTCATTGGAACATTTGATTTATTTATATGGCATTCGTTTAGATATAAATATTGCACTTAATAATAAATTACCTCAGTCTTTAAGTCATTTAACAATAGGAATAACGCCATACATTTTAGAAAAATTTGAAAGAGGAATTCTTTAAAGTTTTAAAATAGTTTCCAATTATGATTTACTTTTGAGAAAACTCAAGGTACAAATATTGCCAAAACTGCTGACTAATAAATTTACAATGATTAGAGACAAACATTAACAAGACAAAAGGATTATGAAAAAAAATTTATACTAAAAAACTTAAAAACATATATTTAAAATTTGATCAATAATCACTCACCATAAACTCACTGATAAAATGAGAATGCAATCTCAAAATGTAAAAATAATACTCAAAATGTAGGGTATCTCAAATATAATAACACTATCTCAATTGAAGGGTACTCAACAAAATTGCTCCCAATAAACAAAACAATTGAAATCCTTGATAAATAATTGGATAAAATAAAACTGACCAAGAGGAATAATATATTGCTTTATTTCATAAACTAATCCAATTAACATAGTATAAACATCTTATATAAAAAAATACAAATTAAAAAAAATAACATGCAATCCCTTCAACAAAAATCAAAACACTTTGTGAATTTTGGCAGGAATTCCCAACACTTTCAAATCACAATACCATAAAAAAAATAATTTAAAAAAAATCAACTGCCAAATTAACTTTACAAACCAAGAATTTATTATTTTTTTATTTAATGCACAGTTTCAAGCAAATTACGAGAAAAAGTGCCAGTTTTTAAAATAAGAAAAATAAGTTGATGAACCTTAATAATAGAGTATATAAAATTAAACTTAGTGATTAAGAATACAATCATTCATAATAAAGCTAAAATTAATTTTCATGTTTCACTAAAAATATGAAAAAATTTTCAAGATTTGAAATTAAAAAAATATATATTAATTATTTAATTTTTCTCTGAAAATCTTTAAATAACTCAATCATAAGTTGGGAACCCCTGTTAAAGGCAATACATATCAGTGGGTAAAAACACTTTCATAATGCTATGCAATACAAAAATAAACTTTTCTGTTTTGTACACTGATAAATTTTTTTAAAAAAAGAAACAGTTATTAATTATATGACAGCATTATAACATACAAGTAACAGTTATGGCTTAAAAAATTATAACAGAAGCTCACATGCAGTAAAAAATTATAACAGAAGCTCACAGGCAGATGACTATAGGAAATTCTATGCAATTCAATTATTTTATGCCATTAATATGCTCTTTAAGTCATGGTTTGGCGAGATTGTCAATTTTGACATTTTATGATGATATCATTGAAACAACCCATTTTCAATTTTAAACATTTTAATAAAGATGTTAGAACATGAATGCTATATATACAGACAGCAATAGTTTTTTTTTATTCATGAGGAAAATAACAACACATTAAACTAAGCTGACATGAAGCGAAAAACACCATATTTCATAAGCTATACAAATACATATGCATATAGAAAATAAATAAAAAAGATTTCAAGTTTAGAAAATAATTTCTTTAACCATGAACAATTGCATAGACTAGGTGTTTTATTATTTATCAAAAAAAAAATATTGCTATTTAAAAAATTTTAATAACTAGAGTTAACTAGCATATTAATGAAATGTTACTAAAAAGCCTTAAATTATAATCAATCATTCTAATTACTGTTTGTACTAGATAATAAAACAATAAATTACTACAAAACATTAATGTAAATTAGCTGTTTTAGAATTAACTCTTTCACTTCAGGAATCTACACATAGCATGTTACTTTGAAAGTGACTAAAAACATTTATCTTACAGATTGCATGCAACATAAAACTGAAAGTTTATTTCCAATTAAGATACTTGCTAAAATAAAAGGTTGGGTTTTTGACATGACAAGCATCAAAAACTGGTTAAATCCATCCAAAATCGAAGATAATAATCACAAAATCATAATGCATAGAAGATTTTTAATGTATATTTTAAAAAACATTAAATAAAGATGAAATTGAAAATATATGTTAAAACATAAATATTTAATTAACAGTAAATAAAGAGAAAATTTTGGCTTTGAGTACCAAAAAAAAAGAAACAAATCTCTTTTATTCGTGAGCTCTCATCATAAATTTTTTTTTTTTTAATGTTTAGATTCAAAAGATACAGTGAATTTACAATTTCACTTTTCTTCAGGTTATTCAAATCATTGGATTAATTTATTTCTACCTGATAAAAGAGCGATGAAAAAGAATACAAGCCTTTTATTTAAACTAAGAATTTACAAAACCAACTTGATTCCACACTGGCTTAATAGCAAATTTAAGTCATTTAAACTGTTTTACTTTTCTAACAACACTCATTCTTCAGACAAGTAAAATGAAACTCATTTTTTATACATATAAAACAGATTTAAAATGTCTGCTGTTCAAATGCTCATGGCAATATAAAAAATTAGTTTTTACGTGTCACATAGTCTTCTATGAAAAACTGAAGTGGGACGCTAAAAATATTTTTTTCGTTACACAAATGAATTTCTTTTTTTCTTGGTTAGTGTAACCAAATTAAGCTCTGGTTAAATAACATTTTCTGAACATATTTAAACATTCTCATTGCCAGAATCAGTCATTTATAAATCAACTTCACTATCATCAGAATTCCAAACATAATGTAAGAAATTAGAATCACCAGATGAATAACAACCAGAACTTGTTGTTGCATCTGATATACTTTGTAAAAAAAATTTGGTCTTAAACCTCTTTGGTTTCAATTTGGAGAAAGAATTATTTTCTTTCCTTTCAAGACCTTTTTCGTTATCATTCATTCTTTTACCGATGGTTTCACTAGGAGAACTGAAATCTTTAATATCTACTTTATTTTCTAATCCCAACACACTATTAGCTTTTCCCATTCTCTTATGTGGCCGTCGACTTTTCATTGTATCAGTACAGCTCAAAGAGTTTCTTAGTGCATGACACTTTTTATGTTTTTTAAGAGCCCCATATAAATCAAAATTTTTACCACAAAACTTACATGGGTACCCTCTTTTTTGTTTTTCTCTACACAAATGATAATATAAACTTTTAAGACTGGGTAGACTTTTGCTACAATGAAAACAGTGATACATAATATTTTCTTGCATTTGACTTTGTAATCCTTTGTCTTTACTGGATCTAGAGTAAGATTTTGCAGCAAACTTCAAACTAGAAGGCTCATTACATTTAAGGCTGCTACCAACTAAAACAGTTCCTTCTTTTAAGATTTCAAAAGACTTTGAACTGCTAAAAACTTTTTCAGAATATGAATTGTATAAAGGACTAAGTCGAGGCAGGGTCATTTTAGATTTTTTAGTAGAACTGATATTAGAATCACTTTCTGTTAATTTAGTGATTACACTAAATTTCTCATCTTTTAAAGAAATCAATTCATTTGGATAAGTATCACATACTTCAGTCACATTTATAGCACCATTACTCTTTAGAGAATTAACTTCAAACATATTTTGGGAGTTGTCTTCAATACTAATATTTCGAAATTGGTTAAATATATTAGTTGTAACGTTCTGACAAGAATATATTTCTTCACAATCAGATTGGGAACTAGGTGATTCCTCTTTAATTGTTACATTCAAATGAAGACTTTTTGAGCTTGCTGTTTCTTCAATTGAAGCGACATTCATGTCAAGTTTTTTGTCACTCACAGAAAGTACTTCTGACGTAATTTCTTGAAGTTTAACAATACAAGGTTTTATGTCTTCAGTTATATCAAGCTTAGATATTTTTGCTTCATTAGTATTTATTCTATGAAGTTTGACACTACAAGGTTTTAATTTAACCCAACCAGTGGAACTAAGTGGCAAAGGAAAATTAATTCTTAAGTCTTTAGAAAAATAATTTAAACAAATTTTCTCCAAAACCACTGAACATGGTTTTACAAGTTTTCTTAAATCAGATGTTGAAGACTTATCTTTCATTTTCTTCTGAATATCTATAGATTTCACATGCATCAAAGAATAATTTTGCTTATCATCATTCAAATTTGTATTTTGAAAATTTTTCGGCAATGAACTTTTTGCTACACTGCCTTCAAAAATGGCACATAACTTAGGATCCAAAGGTGATAATTTCACAATACACGGTTTAGCAAGTTTAGGTGCAGTGGCATTAAATTTAATATTATTTACAGTTATGTAATCATTTGAGTGTGATAAAGGAGAATCCTTCCGGTACGCATCATTAACAATGCTTTTCTTCTTTTTAGATGAAAAACCATTTTCAAAACAGAAACATTTTTTAATAAATGTCAATTTTCTTTTGGTTCTTAAACCACTCTTTGGTTTACAATCGGACAATGTTTCATATTCCCCTTCCATCTGTTTTTAAGTTATAGCGGAGGAAAGTAGCTATAAAATGGACTCTAGAATTTTGAATAAAGTTTTATGTATCTAGGCATTTCAAAAGAAACATTGATTTGGGACCCATCTGTAGTGAAAACAAATTTTAAGTAATAGAGTTATGAAATTCTGATTTTCTTTGCTATTACTGATATCTATAATTTCAAAGATAATGTGATTGCTTAATTTTATAAGATAAAAATGGAATGATAAAACTTCAAATTTTTCAATCAAGGCCTGTCAATTCTTGTTAGCATATTCTTCTTCTCAACACATAATTTGTAAGACCTGATGTAATGAAAAAAAAAGATTATGTCACATAAAATTAAAAGCAAATTTAAATAAAACAAAGAAAATTAAAAAGAAAATATACTATTCATTAAATTTTACTCAAGCTTTCCAGAAATAAATAAAAATCATTTCAGGCAAATTAAAATACAAATGTAAATGTTTCCTTTCCTTAACTATGATTTTTTTTCCAAATAAAAATATTTTAACACCATGATATTTAGTGGCGTGCACAGTTTACCAAAAATACAATTCAAAATGCTAAGATTTAATTAAATTTTTTAGTTTAAAAGTAGATAATATATCATACAAAAATTTGCATATCTTTCCATTAAGTTCATGACTGGTAGCTAAATCTCATTACTTATTTTCAAATTTAACTTAAAAATTACTACAAGTTCATAAGAGGAAGGGGAAAGGAACTTAAGATCTAAAGTTGATAAAGTGTATGGGCAGGGACGGATTAACCTATAGGCACACAAGGTACGTGCCTAGGGCCTACGAAATTCAGGGGCCTACGAAAAACTTGTNCAAAAATTTGCATATCTTTCCATTAAGTTCATGACTGGTAGCTGAATCTCATTACTTATTTTCAAATTTAACTTAAAAATTACTACAAGTTCATAAGAGGAAGGGGAAAGGAACTTAAGATCTAAAGTTGATAAAGTGTATATGCAGGGACGGATTAACCTATAGGCACACTAGGTACGTGCCTAGGGCCTACGAAAAACTTGGGAGAAAAAAAAAATTTTGACAAAAATAATTTAGCTTTAAAAACAACAAGTGTATTTTGCACAAAATTATGAAGATACAAATAAAAATATAATATTTTTCGGTAATAAATTATTTTGCAGAATCTTATGATCTAATATATTACTTTTTTTGTGATTTTTGGATTCAACAAAATCTTGTATTATGCTGTCGAATTCCAAACTACGCAAAATGTCGTATTCAATAGACATAAGTGCAAGCGATGCCAAACGATCTTGATTCATTGTTGAACGCAAATAATTTTTTATCAATTTTAATCTGGAGAAGGATCTTTCTCCTTCTGCATTTGATCCAAGATCGAAATATATTCTTAATGCAATGTGAACGTCAGGAAAAGTATTCACAAGTTTATCTTTAATTTGAGCATTCAACATTTCTTGTGCAGATTTATGTTCATACAAATTTGAAAATAGTAAAAATTCATCTACAAAGATTTCCTCTAAATCGGATGAGTAAATTTTCATCAAATTTTGCGCTTTTAGTTTCTGACAAATTTTTGTGAACAAGAAAACCGGAATTATCGTACAAATCACTATAAGCTTTACGCCTTTTAGTCATTTCTGAAATTAATACATCTAAAATGGCGTAAATATTTCTTGTAATTAATCTCACTATCAATTTCACTTTTTTCTTTGCTGGTTTGTTGTTGTATTGTTGATGCGAAGTGTTTACATAGTTATCGATCGAACTAATCATAATTGTATTATCGATATCAACTGCAATATATGGGCAGTATGTCGGTATTGCAGATAAAGTTCGATAAACAAATTTGTAAATTAAAATCCATATTAATAAAAATGCTTAAAAAAATATGCAAGAAAATTTTAGCATATATTTTGAAAAGAGGGGAGGAGTGGGGGAAGGAGGGGAGGGCCCAAAAACGGCTATGCCTAGGGCCTACGAAAGGTATAATCCGGCTCTGTGTATGGGTTAATATACATAATAAAAGTGAATTTTTATTTCAATGAAACTTTTTGAAATATAAAGTTTCTGTGTCAAAATACTAGACAAACCTGAAATTTTTCTTACAGTTCTTGATTAACAACCTAATTGTTTGAATTTTTTTTTTCTCCCTCAAAATGTAATTATCAAGTAAGCAAGAAAGTAAAGCATTTGAAAAAGAAATTAACATGTGAAAAATCTTTTTATAGCTATTTTGAAATCTTTTATAGGTACATTTATTTCATTTAATTTATTAAACATCTTAGAAGAACATTTTTTGCAACAATTATTCTGCACATACATTGAGCAAAAAGAGTAACAATTACATGTGTACATAGAAGTTACGAAAATTTCATCACCGGTCAAAAAGACCAATAATATAATATTCATGAAGGACCAAAATGATAATATAAAGGACTAATAATAAGAACTAAAAAATATTACTTATCTGAATTTAAGACTATCTTATTAAAAGAAAGAAGTTAATAAATTAAACTTTAAAAAAATTACAATGTAGGAAAAGTGTAATATTCAAAAAATTATGATGAAATAAGCTATTTTGGGCAAAAACACAGACCAAAACACAAAAACAAAACAGAATACTATTCCTTTACACTAGTTGCTGGTCCTGATATTTACACTATTTTTAATGAACAAATATATCTTTCACACACAATAAACACCAACTTCTTCAACTGCTCCAAGCTTATTTTTAAAAGGTAATTATTTTATAATATTTTCCTAAACTTGTTCACATTATGAGCTGATAAGTAACTCATAGATAAAAAATGTGATGATTACTTTAGCAGAAAACCTAGTAATGTTTCAACAAATATAAGTGTTATCTTGAACATCAATGTTAGTAGAATTAAAATCTGATTTCTTGATAAGGAATATTTTTATTTGGTAAACGTGAAAGCTTGTTTCTTGAATGTTACTTCTTCTTTCATTTGTCTATCCTAAATATTTAATCTCCTCATCCCAGTTTTCTTTTATTGAAGCAAAAAAATCCTTCTTTCACACTCAGTTCTTTGAAGAAGATGATCAGCTCAAGAACAATCTGATGTGAAAACTTTCTCCTTCTAAAAATGTTTCAATGAATATTTTCATTCCTAAGTTAGTTCTTTTGCATTAGTTTCTCTTTATTCGGTGATAAGTTTGAAGCTGTCACTGCTGTTCATAAGTCATAGCATACAACAACAAGAGTTCTATATTTTTGGTATGAATGTTTTAATTTTATTTGTGAATAAGAATTTATTATTTTTCAGTCTTTCTGACATATATTTTAAAAAATTATTGGTTCCGCAAGTCTTTTATTTATAATCTCTTCGAAAAGTAATAATTCATTATGCTGAATTCAAGCAAGGGGGGGGGGAAGCCTTTATTTGTTTGAACAATTAGAAGAAAGAAAAAAGACCAACTAAAATGTTAAAAAAAAGCTGGCTTTAAATAAAACAAATATTTTCCAAAAGCTGAAATAACGAAAGAAGCATGTTGTTAATTAATTAAAATGGTGTGATTGGATGATACGAACAAGATGGAATAGCTGTTTCGCATTTTCAAAATTTGTTAGTTGAAAGAAACAACTTTGGAAGAGTTTTGAAGTTTACAAACAATAATTTTTAATGAACTTAATCAAACATCAAAATTAAATTATAATCAAACTATATAATCAGTTTCCCAACTTTGCAAACAAAAAAAAAAAAAAATTTATTATTATTTTGGGCAAATCTTTGATAGAAAGAAGAATACGATAGAAAATTCTTGATAGAAAGAAGATTTAGCACAATTTTTGAAAAATGTTTATTCTGGTGTAATTTAAAGTAAGCTCAGAAGTTTTAAAATGTGACTGTAATATGTTTATGGTCACTTTGGGCTAGTTTTAGAGTAAATGGTGAAATGTGTCACTAAAAATACTAATGTTTTAGCTATTTATGAAATATATGCATGTAAATATAAGTATAAGAAACAAACTTAAATTTTGTAAAAAATTTGAGTACAAAAATATCTTCATACCAAAATTACATCCCAACAGTAAATATTAAAACTAGCACAAATATCGTAATTTAATTTTGACGTTATAAAGTGTAATAAAACATATAACTTTTTCTGTGCTTATTTCAGAATGGGTATTTAATTACCTCTACAATCTATTCTTAATAAAACTACATGTAAGTAAAAGTTCATTCTTAAGAAATTAATTATCAAAAGTAACAATAATTTTACCTTACAAAAGCCATCGTACACTTAAATGTTTTTGGATAAATTCATAATTAAAATTAGCATCCATTGCTTTACTTTTTTATTTACTTATTTTTCATTTCTTCTTATTATTTTTGAGGTACCTGAATTAGATCACAATTTTTGATTTCTAACTTCATATTTTCTTTGATCATTTAAAAATGGCTCTTGGTCATAATAAAACATACAACAATTGAAAGTTGATTATTTGTCATCATTAGTAGTAAATCAGTTTAATGAATATTACAAAAATAGCTTATTTTATTCTATTCCTGTGCAGTATGTGATAAAACGCTTAAAAGATGGAATTTAAACCTACATGATGAATGATATAAATTATAGGTTCATGAAAATTGCATAAAAAATTCTTCAAAGTGTTGTAAAAAATTCTGAAAAACTTAATAAAAAATATTCTGCATCAATTTCACCCGAAACTCTTTGACGAGTTCTCAGAGCTGCTAAATTAAATGGGCAATCTGCATATAAAGTATTTTAATTTTACAAAAAAACATAAACCTTAGGCTTTACTTAACAAAATCAATGATAAATAAATCCCAAACATATCTATAATGTCATATTGACAGATGAAGACAAATCACATTGGGTTTCAATATATTATGTGGAGCAGAAAAAATGAGGAGCTTTATCCTAAGAACTTAGTTGGGACATTTAAGCATAAAGTAACTTCATATTTATACATGAGATGGCACAATACAATGAATCAACCTGTTTATTTAAATATTTTAAGATACAATTTACAATTATCAGTCCAAAATTAAGGTATTTCGAACAACTTCGCTTTATATCAAAATAACTAGCATAAGCTCTCATCTGGAACCTCTATAACTGACCACAAGCTTTTAACAAAATTCCTCAATTGCCATATTTAAACCCAATAAAACAAATTTAAAGAGAGCTGGAAGTTAAAGTATGATAACATGACATTGAAACAGAAAACTAAATATTTTTTTTCCTATTGTAGAAAGTTCTTCACACACACATACACATAGATTATATACTGTTTGTCTAAGATAGGTACTCCGACCGCTACTAAGTCTGCAGCAGTCTGGTGCTATGGAAACAAGAAGAGGGCATTTTAGGGAGGGTAGATTCAATAAAAGAGGTCTCTTCTCTCGCCGAACCCCCACTTGAAATTATCATACCTCGTTGCCATAGTCACCGCCACAGCTCCAGACGAATGCCTGGCAGAGTACCTATCTTAGACAAACAGCAGAGCTCATTCTAGGCAGAAAAAAGGGCAGGGTGCTAAAGTTTAAAAAAAGGGCATTATTATTCTAAAAAGGCAATAATTTCACGTTCTATTAAAAAGCATTGTCAATCAGTAAAAGAATTTTTTTTAAACTTAACTGAGAGTAGCAAAGCAATCATTAATTACTTATTTTCATTAATAAATTAACATATATATCGAGTTAATGAGCTAATTAGCTTAGTAATTTATTTAAAATGCATGCATATATTAATAAAATAATAAATGTATGTTTTTAAGTGTCTNATTTTACTATCTCTTTATATATATATATATATATATATAGGGTTCACACCAGCAATGAAAATTTTATTATCCAATCGGACCACCTTGGTATTCATTTAGTCGTCCAAAAACTTAATATGATAGATAAAACTTGAAAAAAAATTCAAACTTTAATTACATAATATGCTGTAGAAAAAATTATTAATCGCCATAGATAACACCAATAATAAACAATTTAAGCAGAATTTTAAAAATATTCAATATTGAGTCATGTATTCGATTTTTAAAAATTAATAATAATTACTTTGATTATGGAAAAATAATTTTAATTAAAAATTATAATTAGTTAAACTATAATTCAAAAAAACTATTAGTGTATTTTTTAGATTTAACTAATGTTGAGTTTTATAAAAGCATGTTTCTGATAGAATGTGATTATACATCAGCTTTTTTTAATTTTATTTTTTAGTTTGTTTTTACAATAATTGATACAATTTGAATAATAAACTTAAGAATGCATACATTTAGAATAATATATTTATCAATTTCTTATATATCAATTTCAATACATATTTTATAATTATTCATATAAATACATTGTCAACATTTTTAAACATCTTAAAATTTCTCAACATCTTATATATCCTCTTAAAATTAAAAGAATTTTTTTTTTATTTTCCTGTCCATGTGTGTTTTGCAGAAATATTTAATTCAATTAATTTTCTTAAAAATCTTATTCTTTACATTACCACTTATATTATTTTTTCATTAATATACTAATCAATTTCTTTAATACTTTAATTTAGAGTTTCCTTTAAAGTAAAATTTCTTTGTCAAGTTTATTTACTCTCAATTATTATCAAGTTTTCATTAAACAAAAACTCGGAATTATTTACCTAATAATTAAATTTTGTTTAGAAATATATAACATTCTTCTCTTTAAAATTATTTGATGCAAAGCAGCTGACTAAATTAGTGCAAATAAAAAAAAATAATAAAAAAAAAAAAAACTGTTTGCTCTGTTTTGTAACTGAACAAATTAGAACTGCAATTTTATTTTGACATTTAAACTTATATATTACACAGTTAACTTTAAGAAAGTAGTCCTTTCTATAAAAAAAAAAGAATAAATAGAAATAAAAAAAATCAGCATTACAAAACTCATGGTTAGGTATAAAGTAATCTAGTCTCAATTCTTCAAATTTCACTTTTCTATTTGCGTTCCAAACAGGGTTGGGTTTTTTACGTCAAAAAGTGGTTTTTGACATGACAAGGGTATAATACTGGTTTAAACCGTCAAAAACTGAAGTTTGCCAAGAAAATATATAAACTTCAAAACTACCAACAGTTGCCATGCATTATATGGAAATTTAATTATACTATAGGAAATCAGCAGGTTTTAAAATATTTTTTTTTTAAATTAAGGTAAAATAAGAGATTTAAAATCTCAGAAATTTNACTCCGTAAAAAAAAAAAAAAATCCAAATAATACTTTGCCAAATATTCGGCCAAATGAACATTTGGCAAAAAGGTTGGATATTCCTTAAATCCCTATTTAAAATGTTATTTTCATTCTTTTATTCCTTCATATTGTAATAAGATATAATCTTTAATTATACATCATTTTAAAAAAGTTTGGGTTAGAGTTGCTGTGTTACGAATTTTCGAATCTAGATCTATCTACTATATCTTTTCTAGTACCTACACTATATGATATCCTTCTTAATTTTGTATGTATAATTTAGTCAAATATAAATCTTTGTATTAGCATTTTCCTAAAGCCTTCCTTACACCATTTTAGTTAAAAGAAAATGTATCCAACTTAAAATAAGTTACTTAACAAACAAGAATTGAAAGGAATCATGATGGATTATAAAAAATAAAAAGATCACGACAAAATGCGATAATTCAAATGCAAAATTTACATGCTACCTATATGATATTAATTCAAATTTGTTTCAGCCAAGCAGGGTTGGAGTTTTTGCCGGCAAAGAGGGTTTTTTGCCAAGACAGTGGCAAAAACCAAATTATCTAAATTGCTGATTAAATATTATTCGAAAATACTTGAAACAAATTTAAATCAATCATAAGGAACAATAATTTAGATACATTACATGCGACAATTATTTCTAAAATATTAATAATTAATATGATGATGTAAAGTATTGAATTTGCGCAAATTTAAAAAATTGCATTGACACTTGTATATTTTAATTAACTACACATGTTGATAGATATTTTATGCTTTAAATTATAGTTATATTAATTTAAAATAAGTTCATTTCACTGGAAAAAAGAGAATAATCACTAATTTTCCGATCAATAACGTTTTAATCTGCTAAAATGATATTATTAATACATTATGATTTAATTAATTTTGTTAAAATTATATATATTTACAGTATATATTTCAATAATTTTGTATCAAAAATGTGTTGTTGTCCTCTCATCTTGGAAAATATAGGTTTTTGTCACTCTGCTTGGCAAAAACCTGCTTTTGCCAGGACAGTTTTTTCCACCTGCGGCAAAATCTTGCCAACCCTGCAGCTAAGCAAAAATAAACATTTACTGCATTGATTAAATTAATCTTCTATCACAAATCTACAATATCTGCACTTATGGATGTCATCACACTCTCTTAAAACATTCAGAAAAAATTTTTCCTCATAGTCACATTTTTTCAGGAATACAAGTTTAAAATACGAGTATAAGTACAGCAGACTTAGAGTGTGAGATCTTTTATATGTCCACAATTTCCGAATTACTTTTCTAATTACCAATTTTAGTTAGCACTCAAATAACTTTGGCTGAAATCAGCAATTTTCTCTCAATCTCATGTTTTTGAAGTATTGTTTCGCTCCTACAAACCTGAGTAATAAAAGCTTGATACAGTGTATGAACGAGAAATCTGACAGAAAAAAAGGGGTTCTTGGTACAGATATGATTATCATGATAATGGGATTTTGAGAAAGTTTCATTTTTTAAATTTCCGATTTACATAACTTTATAAAAATCTTGTTGGATAGCAAAGCTTTTATTTACAGAAGCTTAATATTGGTGGAATTCAAAACTAACAGAAAAATCATAAATTTGATATTCCCTTCTGCTAATAACAAAAACTTTAAAAATTATTTTGATAAAATAGGGATATTTCTGTATTGTGATCTGTTACTTCAGCTACAACCGCCAAATGGATTTTAAACTTGCAAATTTATAAAAATTAAAAAAACTATAGTGTCCAAAGTGGCTACGAGTTAACGAGTTGATCCCTTTTGCGATTTCTTTAAAAGTTTCTGCCTTAGCTGTTGCCTAGGAGTTTCCGGGACTTGGAACAACACGGAAATCTTTGTAAATCTTACTTTTCTAAGCTATATAATTACATAAAAAATAATGAAAAATTTAGGAAGTAATAAATAGGAAAATTAATCAATGATCTGGCATATATCAAAGCATAAGGGAGATTTCAGCATCATCATTTGTAGAATAATTACCAAGTCTTGGTAACTTTATGGCAGCTGCTTGCGAGAAACAAAACAAAAAAATCATAGAAACAGACCAACTCAAAAGGTATAATGCATAGCCACCTCCGGCACACATCTGCATGTTTTTCTTTTAAAAACATTTGTGAGCTTAAAATCTATTTGGCACCTTGGTGTTGTCACAACAGATCATGTTACAGAAATATACCCATTGCATCCTTAAATCTTAAAGAGTTGAGTTTGTGGCAGAATGATAGACAAGTCTTGGCAACTTCCAGACAGCGGCCAACGAGAAGCTTCAAAAACATCACAGAAAAGGACCATCTTGAAGTGTATAACTAGTAGCCACCCCCCCCCTGGCAAACATCTACATGTTAAGTTTTGTTAAGTTACCAAATGGCACCTTTGCAATTGTAAATCAGGATACGGAAATATCCCCCAACATTGAATTTATTAATATGATTAAGTTGTTTTTAAACTTTATTACTGTGATTTAGTTGTTCTTAAGGGGGATAATAAGTGGCAGAATTATCGCCAAGTCTTGGAAACTTCCAGGCAGTGGCCTGTGAGAAACTTAAAAAAAACATCACAGAAAGGGACCAACTCGTAGCCACCCCCGGGCAAACATCTAGATGTTTTTTTTTTTAAAAATTTGCAAGTTTAAAATTTATTTGGCACCTTGGCGATTGTAGTTGGCGCGACAGATCACGATATCCCCTCTGGCGATGGCTACGAGTTAGTTCCCTTCTATGATGTTTCTTTTTAGTTTCTCGAGGGGGCCGTTGTCTGGAAGTTATTAATACTTGGTGATTGTTCTACCACAAATCACGATACGGAAATCTCCATTTGTCGCCAATCCAAGGGGTACTCAATTCTAAACTTAAAGTCTAAATAACAAACCAACATCCTATTTTATATGCTTAGAAAATTAAAGGAATTATATTTATGTAAGAATTTGAATTATATACACGTAAAGTAAGGTAGGAAATTTGATTTCTAGTAAACACATCTTGAAAACCAACGGCCACACAAGTCAAATTCATCAAGTAACTACAAATAGTAATCGATTTAAATAACTTAATAGACACACTTACTTTTCTCTTTAAAAATTTTTTTTAAAGCATTTAAGAGGCGAATCGATTTATTTTAACTGTTCATTCAATAAATTCACACCTGGAAAAATACTCAGTAATATTACAACCTTACAGAATGGCGCTGGCTCTAGCTCTAATTAGAATAATGTGGATAGCTTCCCGTTAACTATTTCTGTTCATTTCTAATCGAAACGGAAGTGGGTTTGTTGAAGCAGGATTGCTATATTTGATTTTTAAAGATATAAGGAGCCCGCAAGAGGAACTGAAGGTCCTATCTTTCTGGTGGCAATGAAAATGGGCTACCTTTTTCAATCATCGTGGCGACTTTTTATATCTTTTAAATCACCACAGTATGCATATTTGTTATGGCGTCTTTAGCGTGCTGAAATTTTTACAGCATAGCTCGTTCACCAGTAGTTGGTACTTGGCTCCGCTTTCATCACGTGGTATGTGACGATATAATTTCGCTATTTTTGGGAGAAGGTTGTGAGCAATCCTGAACAAGGTTGCTATTTGGCAATCATATGGCAAAAATATTTATTTCGCAAACTTTATCTGCATTTTTTAACGTTAAATATTTCATAAATTTGATGATATTTTGCAACATTTTTTATGATATTTCTCTCTTTTGAGAGATTAGTTTGTCCTTTTTGAGACATTTTTCTGGGAAAACAGCAGTTTTTAAATTTAAAATACATTTAATTAGCCAGAGAAAGAAAGGTATAATAGCATATGATAAAGGATTTTTGTAGATATTCGCATAAGAGTAAAAGGAAGTGAAGGTCTGTTTTGTATGGNAGAAACAAAGACTAAGTTTTATTCACGTGTTATTTTTCACTGAGAATGAATTTTGTAATGCATTTATATATCCACTCTACTGGAAAATTATTTATTATGTGTGTAACACTAATTGATTGAGTTTATTGTTTGAAAATATTGTTAAATTTTTGTGGGGAAAAAGTTTTGATAACTTGAAAATGTTTTCATATTGGTCTATTTATTCAAGCATAAATGTTTGATCATTAAGAATGTATTAGGAAGATCAGTGTTAATATAGCGAAAATGAGCTCGCATAAGTTTTAGGAAATTATATAGTCTGTTATTTATGTAGAATAATAAATGAAATAATATGGAAATAAATGCTTGTCTTTTGTGCTGTTTGTTATCATAATTTCAGAAGGTTGCTAAAGGCCGTAAACGTGGGAAAATGTCAATTTTTTAAGAGTAGTGTTGAATTTTTGGGCCATATCATTGACAAAAATGGCATCCATCCTACCTTAGAGAAATTGAAAGCTATAGGGAAAATTGAAATTCCAGAAAATGTTATCATTTTTAGGGTTGCTTAATTATCAGTCTAAGTTCATTAAAAATTCATCTACTTTATTATCTCTTTTGTATAACCTTTTAAACAAAGATGTTCCCTGGACATGGTCTGATGAGTGCAACAAAGTGTTTGAGCAGTGCAAAGAACTTTTAACGTGATAGATGCAGTATTAGCTCATTATAACGAAAATCTTCCTTTACAAGAATCTTGTGATGCTTCGCCTGTTGGGATTGGTGCTGTTTTATCACACATCATAAATGGTAAAGAAAAACCTGTTGCATATGCCTCTCGAACATTATCAAAGGCTACCCAAGTAGCACCTGATATTAGATAACATCAGAAAATCAGCAAAATCCAACGTTATCTTGCACAACTTCTAATATTAGAAAGATGCAAGAGGTGGCTGTTTGCTCTGCATTATATAATATTAGATTCTGTGCAAACTAATATTATCTAGCGTTCGCCACAATATTATTTTGAGTTAGTCTTGATGCTTTATAATATTAGATTTCGCATTTTCTCATATTATTTTGCTTTGCTTTCTATTTTTTTGGAGTAGGCAAGAGGAAGATATGGATGGTAGTAGAATAATTCGGCGATACAATTTTACTTAACAATTTTACTTGTTGTGAAGCAGTAAAACATAGAACAATAGTTTTATGTCATTCCACTCATTATTTACTTAGCAATACAGAAATACTAAATAAAATTATATTAGCGAATTCTGCTACCTTCCATTTTTCTCCTCCTTACGACTGCATTTTACCTCTACAATTTATCTTTATATATTTCTAAACTTCATTATAACTACCATATGCAATGTATGATTTGCACTCTGAAGTGATAAATTAGATTAATGTATTCAAAATAAATTAGTAAATTCAGTAAATGAGTGACAACGTATTGGGATCTTTTGTCACTCAGTGAAATTTACCTAACACTTTTCCTTTTAACATTGTAATTTTTAAAAGTATTGTTATTGTTACTTTTTTCTCTCTATTGGTTCATGATTCATATATGATTGACTGGAAGCATGTTTGTGTAACACATACGTATATCGTAGTACATATAAATATCGTAGTACATTCCTATACAACTGAAAAGAGGAGAAGGAAGGGGGAAACGTCAAAGGCATGAAACCAGTCTTCTCCCCAGATGACGTATTCAAACAACTTCTCTGCTTCTGAGTAAGGCTCCTATACTATCAGAGCTGACCTATTAAGCAATATTGACATCATATATTAGGACTTATCGCTTTTAGTATAAACTAATTTGTGACTTCCGCTTCTGCGTTTTCGCTCGCCACACTACTCATCACTGCATCGCCACCATTACAGGCGCCCANGAGAAGGAAGGGGGAAACGTCAAAGGCATGAAACCAGTCTTCTCCCCAGATGACGTATTCAAACAACTTCTCTGCTTCTGAGTAAGGCTCTTATACCAGAGCTGACCTATCAAGCAATATTGGAGCAAACAAGTTCGCAAGTTAACGTTATGTTAGTATTAGTTTTGTTATTACGGAGATGCCAATTACGCCGGACACGCCAAAATAATTTAAAAAGCGGTAAATAACTACAAAGTAAATTTTGCAAATAGTTGACAATATTTGCTTGCTTTTAAAAATGTAAAGCATGTAATAAGTACAATAAAGTGGTGAATTATAAAAGCCTACGCATTGTTTAGAAATAGTGGTGGATTAAAATCTACTAAATTGAACTTATTAAATCAAGAATTACAATTAATAAACTAACACTTGAAAATATTTATTCGCTGTACTTATGTTAGCTCTTTGCTCCAACAATAAATAATAAGTCGGCCTGTCTAATTCAGGGGCTCTACTTCTGAGCAATTAACACCTGAAACACTTTTCAAAAAAACACAAAATACTTTTAAAAAGAAGCTTAATACACTCATAAAATAAAGGTTTTATTTTTTTATGGTACATTTCAATTAAATTATTTTTGCCATTTAAAATAATGGATGTCGAATTTTTTAAAGTAGCATATAAATAAATTAAATATTTGAAGTATTTTGCATGCACTTTTGTTTTATATTATTAAAAGTTATTATGATGTTCTAAGACACATTTAGCAAACCTTCACAAGTTCAGACCATATATATATGTTACCGCAAAGTATGATATCCGGTATTGTATAGAATGCCTAAAATTAGCCGGCAAAGTATGAAATGATTTATATTTCACACATTGCCTAGGCATTCTATAGAATGCCAAATGAGAAACCGGCAAAGTATAAAATACATCTCCGATTCGTCAAAATGTCATTCAAAAATGACAAATTCAAAACGTCATCCGATTTGATATTAATTTATTCGTGGATATAATTACATTTATTCGATATTTTAATACTTACTGACGATAGATTAGAAGAAACATCAGTGTTTGGAGTATCGGGCAAGTATATACCGGGCAATGGCACTTGGACCTTAAAAAATATCAGTGTAGGGTATACCGGGCAAATGTATACCGGGCAATGGCACTTGACCTTAAAAAACATCAGTGTAGGGTATACCGGGCAGTGGCACTGAACCTTCAAAAAAACCTCAGTGTAGGGTAAACCGGGCAAATGTATACCGGACAATGGCACTGAACCTTAAAAAAACATCAGTGTAGGGTACACCGGGCAAATGTATACCCGGCAGTGGCACTGAACCTTTAAAAAAAACCTCAGTGTAGGGTAAACCGGGAAAATGTATACCGGGCAATGGCACTGAACCTTAAAAAAAGCATCTGTGTAGGGTATACCGGGCAGTGACACTTAACTAAACCTAGTATATATTTCAGACATTTACCAAAGGCCTAGTCATACTAGGTTTACTTAAGTGCCATTGCCCGGTATACCCTACACTGATGTTTTTTTTAAGGTCGAGTGCCATTGCCCGGTATACATTTGCCCGGTATACCCTACACTGATGTTTTTTAAGGTCAAGTGCCACTGCCCGAAACTGATGTTTTTTTTAAGGTTCAGTGCCACTGCTCGGTATACCCTACACTGATGTTTTTTTATGATCAAGTGCCATTGCCCGGTTATATTTGCCCGATACTCCTAACTCTGATGTTTCTTCTAATCGATAGTTTATAAGTATTAAAATATCGAATAAATGTAATTATATCCACGAATAAATTAATATGAAATCGGATGTAATAAGCATTTCGGACATTCACCAAAGCGACTATATGATTGTCAACATTCACCGATCAAAGTCAACAATCACCGATTTCGCTCATTCACCGTAACATGCACATCATTTACATAATAACCTCATCAGGACGTTCATTTCATACTTTGCCTAAATAGCATTCGGCATTGTATAGAATGCCTAGGCATTCTATACAATGCCTAGGTAAAGTATGTAATGCTTCTCACATTTCACACTTTGCCTAAAAACGTCAGGCATTCTATACAATGCCGGCGCTTCATACATTGCCAGTAACATATATATAAAGCTGATTTTTATAAGCATTTGAGGGGATCTGTAAATTCACAATCGCAACGCTTGAGTACACCCTCTAGCGGAGCCTGAAGATATTAGGCATTTATTTATGAAGTTTTCATTTAATTCTGTCATAATCATTGGCAGAGTCAGGCGCCATTTTCTTAATAGCAAAATTTCCCTAAGGAAAAGGCAGAAGAACTTGAAAAAACTCTCCAGAACATTGGTAAATCTTTCAGAAACAAAATCCGCCAAACATTTGAAGAAAAATTTTTCAATAATTTTTAACTTCTATTACCAACAAACTTGCAACTGATGACTTCCGATTTCGGGATCGCATACTGTTACAGATGGGTGTATTGCTGTAAAATAAATTTTTTTCTGTTTTCAATTCATTA